CGGGGGGGTTTCGACTCCCTCCCACGCCTAGCCGTGCGTGGCTTTGCCGTGTCCGGGGAAAAGGGGATCCTGGGGGTTGAGCTGACGCTGAGTGATTGGACCTTTAAGGCCCCCCGGTAAAGGCAACACGCCCCTTTGGCCCCGGCTTCACGTAGACGGCACCCCTGGGCTGACCCACCCAGGTGAAATCGGCAGTCACGTTTTTCCATCTCTCTTCTCTCTCATTTTCGTCTTTATCTCTTACTTTTTTATCTATCCTGTCATCTTCTATCTTCTGTTTACTTCCTAATTTCTTGGCGGCAAGGGTTAACCTTGTGTAGTTACCCAACCTTGGGTAGTTATATCTGCTTATAGCGGCGATGTATGACTGACGCCTTCAAGTGTTCTTCCTTGTAGCGTCCTCCTGTTGGGCTCGGTGGTGGGTGGTCACCATCGCCGCTGAACATCAAATGCTCCACATGGCAAAATCTTTCCCCCTTCTCAATGATCGGTCCTTGAAAAAGAACCACACTGATGAAAGCTCCAAACGATCCGGAACCGATTGTGACCACTTCCCACGCTTTCTAGTCATACACTCTCTGGCAGATAATGTCTTTGTAGCAGGACTGTCGGTTTTCCTGATAGCTAGAACCCTTGCTAACCTAATAGGCAAAAAGTACAACGCAAAGAAACCATCATCCGATGATCTTCTTGTTGAAGTAAGCCAAAAACAGCATGCAGACACTCTCCTGAAACAGAAGCAGTTTGCCCACCTAGACGTGTCCATCACCCCTCATGGCAGTCTTAACACTGTTCAAGGCGTCATTTAACAATGTGATCTGATGCGAGAAACCGAAGCTTTCGAGAGCAAGGCGTAGTCGCCATCCGTAAGATAACCATCAGGAGGAACAATGAAGAAGTGGTGACACCTCATATAATACTAACATTTAACCTCTCCATTCTGCCCGAATCCATGAAAGCTGCATTCCTTCTCTGCAAAGTCCGCCCCTACATACCCAACTCTAGAAGGTGCTACAAATGCTTGAAATACGATCATGAGTGGAACACATGTCGCCGAAATCAAAAATTGTGCAAAATGTGGTGATCATGAGCACCCAACCAAGAGCTGTACTTCCACGCAAACAGTGCCCTAACTGTCACGGGCCGCACGCAGCGTACTCGCGGACATGTGAAATTTTCAAAAAGGAAAAGGGAATCATCCAGATAAAAGTAATGCGAAACATCGCATTCACTGAAGCCCGGCAGAAGGTGTCACTTTTCTCCAGGAAAACGTACGCTGACGCAGCGCACCGGGGGGCCGGGCGGCGTCTAGCAACGGTGCGCACGCAGTACAGCTTTGCTGGTGCGTGCACATCTCGGCTCCCCACCAAGCAGCCGCAAGCTGCACCAACGTTCGAAGTTTTGCAGGTCCACCTCCATCAGACCTCAGAGACAACACAGACAATCCAAACCCCGCAGGTCAACTTCCATGAGGCCTCGGAGACGACACAGACAACTGAGAGGGCACCTGTCCCTCTTGAGAAACCCCCATCAGCCTCCAAGTGTTCACAGGGGGAAATGGATGTGACACCGGCGTCCTCAGCGTCTCCGATGCTCACGGAATACCTCCTAGTGAAGCGTAGCCCAATAGAACGCCTCAGAGGGAAGAAACACCCTCCAGTCCAGGCACCTGACAGATGCTGCGAAGTCTCAATAACCCCCCTTCCTTTCTTCCTTTTTAAAAATGGCTGCCGAGAGTATCATCTACTAGAACTGCCGAGGTCTACTGAAGAATCTGGATGACATTTATGAAATGCTTGCGCAACACCAACCTAACATACTTTGCCTGCAGGAGACACACCTAAACTCAACACACACTAACTTTCTAAGAAGATATGTGGTATACCGAAAGGACAGGCATGACACTGCCCATTCATCCTGCGGTGTCGCTCTCGTGGTGAAGAAAGCACTCCCGTCTCAAAGCCTCACTCTGGTTGCCGACTTAGAGGCAGTGGCAATACGAACCCTTATCTTTGGACGAATGACAACTGTGTGCTCATTATATATCCCTCCAGACTACCAGCTGTCTATTAAAGAGTTTGAAACTCTCATCGACCAGCTCCCGCATCCATTCCTCTTGGTTGGAGCTCTTAATAAGCACAACCCCCTATGGGGATGCAGAAGAACAGATTCTCGAGGCTCCCTAATCGAAAACTTTCTCTTGTACTCCGGCTCCTGTATATTTAACAAAAAACAGCAATGTGCATTAACGCAGCGCGCAACTCATACACAGCCATAGATCTTGCTATCGGCTCCCCTTCACTCATGGCAACCACAGATTGGGCTGTTATTCATAACCTCTACGGAAGTAATCATTTTCCTGTCTGTGTAAAACACACAGGAAGTACAAATAAGATGACTACAAATGTATTTAGGTTTAGAAAACGGGATGCTGACTGGAAGAAATTCCGAGAACTTACAGAACTGTCGCGTTCTTCTATTGAAAACCTAGACATTGATGACTGTGAAGCATTGGTCGTACTTCATATCATACAGGCAGAGTGATTGATCTTACAGACATCTGACAAGACGCGAAACAAACGATGACCCTGGTGGAATGCGGAGTGCAAAAAAGCTCGCGAGAACCAAAACAAAGCTTGGTTGAAATTTCCAGGTACCCTACAGCTGACAACGTGATGAATTTCTAGCGTGCGAAAGCAAATGGTAGGCGCATCCGACGAGAATCAAAGCGGCAGAGTTGGCTGTCCTTTCTCTCGTCTCAAATCGTGCAACCTAGCCATCTGCGAACGTCAGATTCAGTTGGCAGTAAATGAGCTCTCAAGCTGGGCAGACAAAAATGGTTTTAAGTTTAACTGTGACAAGACTGTTTGCCTACTCTTTTCAAAACTACGTGGCTTAAGGCCATCCCTCAACATTTCAATGAACGGACACACCATTGCTACGATCATAAATTTCTAGGAGTTGTGATGGATGAAAAGCTCAGCTTTGTCCCACACATCAAGCAGCTGCGACTGAAATGCTTGAAAGCCTTGAACTTGCTCAAGATTCTCTCGCATCAGTCAGGGGTACATATCGTGACTGTCTATTAAACCTTCTCAGTAGTCTAGTGCTCTCACGTATTGATTATGGCTCATTTGTGTACGAATCAGCATCGAGATCCGCACCTAAGATGCTCAACCTAGTGCATCACCATGGGCTTCGTCTGGCTAGTGGTGCTTTCTGAACCAGCCCAAAAGCCAGCCTGTATGCTGAGACAGATCGGTGCTCATTAGAACGACGACGGCAGTTCACAAACATCAAGTATGCAACCATGGTGCTTTCCCATGTCGACCACCCATCTCAGCGAGCTATTGCAAGATACATCAAACACCCATCTGTTTTTGAGGCGACCATCAGCTACTGCCAACGTATCCCATCAGAGTGGCCTCACACTTTGAAAATCTGCATATACCCATCTCCAATCTTCAACTAAGCTCCCACAAAGACACGGTGGCACCATAGGAAATGCGGGCTATCAATTGTGACTTGTCATTCCTAGAGGTAGGAAAGCATGGCCTCCCAGTCGCAATCGATCAGCATTTTATGTACTTGCAGGCAAAATACAGGTGTGCTGAGTACTGCACTGATGCTTCCAAGTCCTCGGCCCTCGCATGTGCTGCATACGGCCCAGCATACTCTGAATCTGCAACAATGAATGAACATACCAGCATATTTACTGCTGAGTGCTATGGCATACTGCTAGCTATAAGGCACATCTTAAAGAAGAAAGAACCAGTCTCCATCATGCACACAGATTCCCTCAGTGCAGTGACTGCGATTGTCTTCTGCAAAGACACATAAAAATTCTGTGACTAATACCCTTCTAAACTGCCTCATGTCAGCCTACAGATCGAAGCTTAAAATCACGCTATGCTGGATTCCGGGACACTGCAACATAGCTGCAATGAGGCATCGGAACGACTTGCGAAAACCGCTGCACTCCGCCCAACAGTAGGCGTAGTCGTCGTCCAATAGGAGGACTTGAAGCCGCTAACCAGAAACCAAATGCGTAGGCAATGGCAAAAGGAATGGAACGCAGTAGTTGAAAACAAATTGCACACAGTAAAGCCAAGAATAGGTAGATATGCTCTTGAAAAACGTAACAGGCATCAAGAGGTTCCACTGTGCAGACTCAGGATCGGTCATACACATGCAACACACTCGCACCTTTTAAGCGACTCTCCAGCACCGTGTTGTGAAAAATGTAGTGATGTGCCATCTGTCGTTCACGTTTTAATTATGTGCCCGTACCTTGAACCAGAAAGACTGCGTCACTTCCCAAAGCTATACAAATGCCACATACCGCCTCACCCTTTATTTTTTTCTTGGTGACGATACCATGTTTCCCACAATAGTAGTTTTAAAGTTCTTAGCTGATGTTGGATTCCTGCATTCCATTACATATTCTCACTAATCTCAGCCCTCTCTGAATCCTGAGAGAACCGCTGAGACTTCTTTACCAAATGTCATGCAGCACGCACTCCTCGTCCTGACAAGGACCACTGCCGTCACTGCGTGACTTTTTAGAACACATAGATTTAGACCATTTTAAACTCATCACACATAGTCATTACACTTAAGTTTATAATCCCTATGCCCCACTTTTTTATTCTTGCCACCCTGAGTAGATTTTTTTTCTATAATTGAACCGACGAAAAACCCTGTCTTTGGAGCACTTTTGCCTGAGTTTTGCTCGCTCTTGGTGTGCGAGTGTGATCAGGATGGCAGACGGGAGGACTTGCACGCTTTTTTCTGCTGCTCAACAAAACCTTGAAAGTGTGCCCGCTTGGCTTGAGCGTAATCCGCGCGTTAGGTGCCGCATTGCGAAGCGCTTGCTTATAGCTGTTGACCACCTGGCAGCCAACTTGCCGCTTCTGGCGTCCCGGTATTCGGTTGTGGAGATGGTGAATATTTTGTGGGCGACGGTGACGGCTACGTGTGCGCGAAACTGCTCTCACAAGGCCGACTCCATCGACACTGGGCCCGATGCCGAGCCTGAAGCTTCCAAACAGGATCACTTCGGCAGCGATTTGTGGCAGCAGGCCGTCGAATTCAACATGGGAGAGCGGGTGAAACATCTGTTGCGATAGTTTCATTACGGCAATGATGATGCCAACGCGACAGAACTGTGCACGGATTAGGGCATTGTGAATGAAGTACGTGGCAAGAGCGATTTGGAGAAATTGAATTGCGAGAACGACGAAACATTGAAGCCAGTCCCTCATGCAGCTTATGCCACGGGCCTCGGCGAACAAGCCCGCTGCTGTTTAAAATAATATTGAGACCACCCTTATCGCTTCTGCTCTTCGAAACACGTGCATTACGGACTTTTTTAGGCAGAAAAAGTGTGTTTTCACTCGCAACTTTTTTTAAAATCTGTCTTTCATTTACTACGAACTTTGGGATACAGGGAACTGATGCCGCGTCAGGCTCAGGTTTGTTATAAGCGGGTGTCGTGTAGCCGACACGGCGACACGTGAAAGTAACCACGCTACACCACTGTACGATCCATGACAATAACCCAGTTTAATCAGCGAGTATCGTTTATAAACACATGAGCGCAGTGGCGCCATCTATTGTGATTTCAATGACTCAGAAGGCCATCTGGTGTAAACGCACAACACTACAGCAGGCTCAACTGTACCTAGAGACTCTTATCGCAAGGCAACGAAAATTCACTAAGAAGCTTGTACGAGTACATTTGTTTCTCGGGAAAAATTATGCTATGCTTCACCGCATGTCATGAGGAATGAAACAGCACCTGAGTTCCTGATTTTCTTTGTCTATGTGAAGAGAAACATTTTGTACATCAATTATTTTTATACTTTTCCTGGGTCATTTATCTACATAATCTTTATTCTGAATTCTCTTTGTTCTGAATATTTTTGCATATATAGTGTTTTTTATTCCACTGTTTACGAGCTGGTGACAAAAAATTTTGCACTTTTCACATTTTTATTCATTCTGAAATATTGTGATGATGGAACGCATTTATTTACAAAATGGAATGATTGCGATAGGTACAGCTCAGAGCCATAAACAGGAGACCGAACCGCTCATGAGCCAGACCCGCTTCGACCTCGTCCCCTTCGTGCACCCATCGATGTGTGTAATTTCCCGCGTTCGCAGACGATGCCCACTGGGCTAGTCAGTAGGAAGGTTAGCGGTGAATACAGCTTGAGGCACGTAACGTGTGTCTAAAGCGCAAACCATTACTTGTGACGCTGGAGATGACGTATGTAATGTCACTGAGATGGTAAAGAACTACTAATGGTTAGGAGTAGCGGGCCAAAAACTTTTGGGACAAACCACGTTTGTGAACAGGTGTCCACAACCATACCAGGTAACCTTTTGTGTAAGAAATGGAGTGATGGTGGGCGTCGTACCGAGTCTTGGAGCGCTGTTGAGATGCAGTAGTTCAGAGACGTGCAACGGGAGGGGCTTCTTTAGCACGGCATTGTGACTCAGCAATCGATGTTTCCAGATCTAACATAAAAGGCAGAATGGTGTCGAGACAACTGCGAGGGGAGCGGGCGTAGAGCAGAAAAAAGGGCAAGTACACTGTCGTCTCGTGCTTCGCGGTGTTGTATGCGTATGTAATATAGGGCAGTACTTCGTCTCAGTTTTTGTGCTTGGTATCAACATAAATTTACATCATGTTCTTTAGCATCCTGTTGGTCCGCTCTACGAGGCCATTCTTCTGTGGGTGATACGGGGTCGCGTGGCGGAATCGGCTGGCAGACAGACCTAGGATCTCGTCAACGACGTCATGACGAACTCACGTCCCCGGCCGCTAATGACGACTTGTGGAGGGCCATAATGTAGAATTATAAGCCGAAGCATAAACTGCGACACGTGAAAGGCTGTCGCAGTGGGTATTGCCGCGGCTGTACAGAGCCTTATATTCTTTAGTGTAGAAGCAATGCTACATATTTTTTACAGAATTAACACAAAAATAGCAAAGTGTGTGGACAAATACATGAAATAATTCAATGCAGTTGTTTTTCTCTTTCCGCACATGCGTTTCGCAAATACAAGAAGATAGTTCAGTTCTTTATTTTAAAAAAAAATGAGTCTTCTGACATGAGCAACATGCAGGGGAGCACCTTACCGCTTGGCCAGCTTCTCAATATCTGCAAGCTTTTCGACAACACCTGCTTTACTGCTTGTGGTAAAACTCCAGCGGGTACTCCTTGGAGCTCGAGGCGTGCTTTGTAGCAGTCTGTAACAAAAACTTCTGTATAAAGAGCCTTGGGAAAACTAGCTGCTCAAGGAAGTTAAACTTAAACTGCGCTTGGGACAAGACACCAGAGCGCAGTTTAAGTTTACCAACTAGCCCCATAACACATGCTTCTTGATGGGAGTAATAGCACCATTTCAAAGTACAAACAAGTTAAGAAAACATTCATTGTAACCAAAAATATTATTAATATATAGAAATTTTAGCCATATCTATAATGAAGTGATGATGTGGTATGCATAGTTTATAAATCTTTTATGAGTTCAGGCTTCCACAAAACAAAAGGCATTCTCTATTCGAAAAAGTGGTTCATTTCAGCACTTGTTATCGAAAGAAAAAAGCAAGCTTTGCATACACACAAATAATCTAAAAGCTACATTGTTACATTTCATTGATTTTCCACTGTGCACTATGCAACAGTGTGGAGTTATATAGCTACGAACAAACAACAAAAGTAGAGCACGATGGCTTTTGTTTTGCCATTTTCATAATAAATGAGATACACCTTTTGATCAAACAAATTTTGGCAGTCTACGCTCTTGCTGAATGGGATGGTTCCAACTTTTTCAATTACCTGTGCGTCTAAGAGACAAGCCTTACACCTGCCTGAACTGTGACAAATTGAATGTGCCAATGAACTTTCAAGGATTAAGGAAGATGCAAGGTGTTGGGTCACCTTTGTACAACTACTTTATGCAAAGGAAAGTTCAAAAACTGAAGTCAAAGAACATGGTTAAGTTCATTTGGCTTCTAAAATATTCAACTAAAAACAAGGTTTGCAATGACTTGATGCATGAAGAACGAAATCAGCTTATTATGCACCACAAGAGATTGTCTGCAAAATTACCACGCATTAGGCCCTGCTTCCATGGTATAAGGGGAGCCTTTCGTGGGCAGTCAGGGTAGCATGGGCAGTGTTTTCGTGCATAATAGACGTCCGCATTAATGAATTCTCTAGTTAGTGGCTCTCGCACACCACATGTTTTAGTATAATAACCAATCCTGCAGGGTGCGCTCTTTGAGGGTTTCTTTTGGCCAGATGGTCACGAGAGGGTCCTTAACAAACAGAGAATCCTTATTGTGGCACTGCACATATTCTCATGCAGCTTTCTTCACCATAAGTCCTCGCCCAATGTCCACCTGCAGTGAACAGGTGCATTTTAAACACATCACTGTGCTGTACAGCACATGTCGCTTCATAAAACAATATGTTTCTGCCAGTTTCAGAAGGTAGTATGCATACAACCATACCCTCATGCCCTATATCCTGTTTTGCCTTTGTAAACTACTCAACAATAGATATGTGGCTCATGTTGATATGTTGAACAGATGTGTGGCTCACGTTGACATTTCGCCAGCCTCTTCATATTTTCCTTCTTGCTGCTTAACAAGGGAAGGAGGCACGACTCTAGACAGCTTCCCATGTTCTTTTTTTTTTTTCTTTGACAGAACTCTGGGCAAAATAGACAACAATTCGTAACATGTAATTTACTCGTGTTACTCAAAGGCCCCTGTAGGAGCTTAACAAAATAAGTTACCTCTGTTTTTTTCTCGCAGTTGGAAAATGCTGGCAAAAAAATCCTCTTTGGAATATGTGTCCTTTCTTTCTCCGTGTCGGTGAAATTCTTCGAATCTGAAGAACGCAACGGTAGATTGTAAAGTTAACATTTTACACACATCAGCTTTAATGGCACATTTCGCGATTTTTCACATGCACTTTTGCTGGCGTTATTGAATTGCATATTAAAAATTGAGCGCAAGTAAACACTTAAGTACCGTTGTAACATAATATGATGCACAAAGCAAAAGAGCGTACAGTGGTGGTGCCGCAGGCAAAAGTGCAATACTCTACCGCAAAGTGCCCAAGAGACCGGTAATGTGAGCAGATATACTTGATGCTGTGGTTATTTCTCCGCGGCCAGGTAAATAACGCCGTCATCATTGTGGGGCTTTCAGGCATAATGACGCACCACACAATTCTGTAATCATGCCTGGTGAATTACAAAACGAACTCTTGGGTATGCCAGCTTTGATTATGGCAAAAAATACTTTGAAGTTGATGAATAGGCGGACAGTTCTGAACTGCCGCCTAGGCCAAACAGCGAATGCATTTCACCGGCAACATATCAAACAAGAGCACGCTTACCTCCCCGTGCCAGAATCTGTCTCTTCATCGTCGTTGATTCATTTCACCAGATAGTGAGATTTGGGTTCAAAATCTTTTACATCGGCTACTGCGCAGTTTGAAGTTGTTTATCCTCCTCGTAGCGGACTCTGACGGGGATAATCATCGCGCAATCTTGAACAACAACAGTGCACACGCGAGCAGCGAACTTACACACATGCGCCTCAGCTCATGCACAGCTGGTTATTCACGAATAATTCTAGTATCAGTTGATACGCCACTTAGCGGCGAGCGGGCGAAACAGTCTATTGAGGTCCATGCACCAAATGAAACACACTGTCACACGCACTGACGCATTGGTGCCTGATGCTCTGTCTTCATTCAAGAAAAAAAGAACTTCCAAGAAGTTTTGCAGCGTGCTGCAATGCACATTGGGGAGGTTGAAAGATGAAACAGCGTCTTTTCACAAGTTTCCCTCTATTTTGAGTGAACGGCAAAGAAGAAGGGTGTGGATATCCAATCTTTGCATCGACAAAGAAGTGACTCCGACCATGGCTGTTTGTTCACGGCACTTCACGAAAAGCCATTTCTTTCTTCCAGGTGAGCAGGCGTATGTCGCTGCACTACACATCTGTCGCTCTATTCAAATGACATTTACTAGTCTTATAAATGACAGAGCTTGAATAAATGGGAACTGTGGTAGGGTTAATATGAGCGTGCTTACG